TAGTTTTTCAAGGGATAGGTACTTCCTAGGCTGTTTTAACAATGATGTATTCAGAACATATATAGAGATTATCTGCATTCTGACGTTCAACTGGTATTTGTGGCCAAGTTTGCTGACACCGTGCACTGTTCATTGCTCATCATCAAACAGCAAGTCACAAAAATCTGCCACAATCTACACCTGTTGGAAATTTTACCTACATAAAGGACAATAAATCTACTAGTCTTTCAATCCTGCAAAATATCTGGACAGTCAGAATGATTAGTACAGCTGAGACCACAGGCAAATTCATAGAGTGAGTGAAAGCAAAGATGAACAGAGAATGCTACTCTTAATAGTGATCACTGGTTCATAACCCACCAAAACAGGAATTTTGATTCCATTAATAAAACACTTACAGGTTTTAAATACTTTAAGTTTGTAAGTGCTCAGCCCAATAGTATAAATGTGGAATTACTGCTGCCACAACCAATAACTGCTTTTCTTTCTGATTTCATACCAAGTTTGTTACATTTTTAAAAAGCAAAAAGGCACATACAGTGAAATGAAATTTATTTTTTTAAAAAACACACACCATGTATTCAGTATATGACGCCTTCCTTTAAAGCCACAATGTAAACTGCCCACTGTGCACAAGCACATATAGTACCACCCCAGGACCCCCACTTGAGATTTAATAGCTGTCATACTAGCTGCTGTTTTCCAAGTAGCTTAGACTTGATGATAGTTCTTTTCTAGCATCCCCCTCTTCTTGCTCATTCTCACTGATTCACACATCTATACCTGCCAAAAAAGCAAAACACCCTCAGTATGTACAGATTTTAATCCCGTCTGGAGAACAGAAAAATCTGTTTTATAGGGCTCTCAAGAACGCAGGAGTTCTAGTACTATGTAATAAAAATTAGATTCTCATAGGGGAGAGGGGCCTTACAGAAATTAAGGCTATAATCCTGTACCCACTTACCTGAAAGCCAGCCTCACCTAATGCAGTTACAGGTATAGGGTTATACACAAGTTACGATTCAGCTAAAATAAGGCCTATTAAATTGCAATTGATCTCAATGGGAGATAGTCAAGAATTTATTTAAATTTGCCAATTAAATGCTTCTTACCTTTGGCTAGATCACACCTTTAAATTTTGGAATGTTTGTATTTCCACACTGTTGCATGGACCACACAATAGGCTGATGGCTCAAATACCAACTTGACAGCTGGTATAATGCCTAATCTTTCTTCTTTTTTGCTGACAGCATTAATTCTTATTCTCTAGCTAAATAAGGGAAACTACAGAAATCTTGTTATCAAGATGTAATGACTGAAGCAAGCCTGATAATGAATTCCACTATGCCCTAGTTTTCAACAAGTTCATCAGCTTGTCTTTGTTTGCTCTCTTGGATAAAACTGGAGAGTGTACATAGTTGCAATATCCAGTTCTGAAAAGCCAGTCCTTCAATGAAAACTGAGCAGCCATTTTCCAGTTCTCAGCAATGCTACTTTGATAGAGATCAACTGTCAGCACCAGGGATGGGCATCCTGTCATTTGTTATCTGGTTAAATACCCAAGTAATCAAAGGACAACACCAGTTGTACGTGGGAAAGCAGCTTGTTATTTCGAAGTCTCAACAATTATATTCATGTGTGTGTGCGCGTATTTACAATTTAAATAGAATCACCACAAATAGTTGTGCTAGGTATATTCCCCCAAATTCACTTCCAGTTGTCTAAAATTTTTATGGCTATGGCCTGCTGTGCTTCTGAAACCTGTTAACATTTCATTAATAAAAAAAACATTTCCTAGAACTTTCTTGTAACATTTTTTTTTTGGGGGGGGGTGAGAAATCATTTTTTAAATAGTCTTCCTTCTTCAGGAAGCTGAATTTCCTTAGCAATACAAATCAAAATATGCCTAATCTGAAAATACTGATCCCAGGATAGTCCAAAAGTGCCTTTTCCTTTACATTTTTATACGTTACTGTATCATGTTACATGTAAGGCTTTCATTCATTAAGAGTCCTATATTTCCAACAAAATAGACAACTTGTTCGTTATAATTTATTCCACTATGAAACTGAAGATTGCATACATGGGGTTCTCAAATTGTCTACCATCTGGGCATTGACAAGACCCAGAGTAGCTTAGTTTCCATTAAGAGCCTTCAGACAATGCCCATGGATAACCATGATCCTGGAGCAGATTTCAGATATCTACATGCTGTACAAAACAATTCAGACCCATGTTGCTTAAAAGCGTGTTGTATATACTTTTTCACATAAAGAAGATTGTGTGTTCACCTAGTCCTTCCCAAGTTAACAAGACCAGGCAGTTCTATACCATCAGTACATTTGTTTATTCAGACTGATTGATCAACGTTCAGTACGGGTATGGTTTCCTGCCATAAATAGTAAAAACATCAGCTGATGTGTATTGGTCGTATTTGTTTTGTTTATCATGGTGGAATCAGAGACCTACTTGTCCAGGTCCTCTGTGACTTTTGATGGAGTCTAATTTTCAACCACTTTTCTAAGCTACTCTTGCAACCTAACAGCACAATCCTAACCAAATCTACTTAGAAGTAAGTCCTACTGAATTCAGGTTAGCAGGGTTAGGATTGCAGCCCACATCCTTTAAACAGCCTATTGTCAGATCTTCAGAAGCCCCTTTCAAAGCACTATTTTGCACAGCCCTGCCGCTTTGCAGGTACTACTGGTCAGCTGATCAGCAGTGCCTACAAGCACTTTTTCAGTCCAGCCCCACACCTGACTTCACATAGAGCAGAGGTGTGTGGCTGGGCCGAATGGTGAGCTCTGGTAGACAGGCCCATTTAAAAAGCTATGCTGATTCCATGCCCCTTAGGATAAATTGTCTTGTTAGGTAAGTTACCCATTTTTAAAAGGGAAATTCTATAGCAATAAGGTTCCTTTTTTAAAAAGTCACACCCCATTGCACCAGCAAAAAAAATGGGGAAATAAAACATGGTTATTTGAAGTTTCACTATTCCGTGCAGAGAAGTTAGCAGCACATTCACATAACATGATTGTCTTTTTTTGTATGCTGATTTTCTAAGGAAGCAATTTTAAAACCAATACCCTAAATCTTACATGTATAAGAGATATTTGAATGTAATATTTATTTGGTGACTTTACAAGTGTAAGTCATTTACAAAAAAATAACAAACAAATGTAATTCTCAGTGCAGTTTCAAATATCTGAAAACAGGAAACAATCTGTGATGATTTGGAATGCTAGTATCAGACAGCACATGCTTAATTCTTAATTGTTTTCCAGAGACAGAAGTGTCAGTGTACATAGAGCCACGCAAATAAAAACCCTTTTGAAAAACATGATACAATTTACAGATGAGAGGGATACTTCAATAGAAAACTCAAGAACTCAAAAAAAATTTTTTTGGAAGCAGCTGACTTTCCAAACTGAACATAATGGAAAGATTAAAATTATCACTGAATCTTGTCAATTTTCTTCCTCATTTATTACATTAACAGAATGAACTCTTTTCAGCAAAATATAGTGTAACTAGTTTTCACAATGTGTGGTTTAGGAAGCAGTCTAAAATTAACTGACCTCAGAATACAATCTTAACCCATATGTGCTATACAATAAATTTTGTAAATCTGAAATAGTACTATTAGTTACTGGTTCACTTCAGTAGCTCCTAGGAACAGTAGGGCAACTGAGAACAGTGGATTGAATCCAGACTTCCCATGAGGTTTTCAATCCAATAGAGATCTCACCTGTGCGGGGAGGCAACTTTTGCAGATTGCCTCCTCTCCCTGCAGCCTCTAGCATCATCTCCCACTCTTCTAAAGGGTCTCATAATTCTCTGGAACAGTGTGGAATGTGGTACCAGAGGAGAAGGAAATTCACCAACAGTAGCATCCTCTGGGCAAAACCCCATTCAGGAGATGTTTCTACTGATGGGAGCAAAGTGTGGATCCAACCCAGTATGTGCAATTTGCTAAGTACTCGAATAGAAACAGCTCTTAAAATAGAGCTGAAAAAGTAACAAAACTGCAGATGGATGCTTTGTGCCGCAGCATAAGCCCAAAAGCATCTTTTGAAGCCTAAGTTACTGTTTCCAATTCAGTTGGACCCTTTCAACTAAACTTCGCCCCAACAAGGTCTGATACTTATTTCTACAACAATTCTAGCACACATACTAACCTGACGAGTCCAAGACCAGTGTTGGCAGTGTCCTTAACAGAGACAATTTTGCTCTCCTGAAAAACGTTTTAACAAATAGGCTTTTTCTAGTGACTTTCAAATTAAGACAAGGGAAAGGAAAAGTTGCTTTTGGGGACAAAGGGCTACTGATAAATGGTAGTTAGTAAATTGCAAAAGATCTTTAAAGTAGTTCTCTAAACCATGCACTAGAACAGCAGATTGAGAACTTCGGTTTCTGTATAGCTGCCACTGTCCTATTAAATGAAGCAGAAACTGTAAACGGGAAGAAAGAAAACTGCACATGATAATTATGTTGAAATGATTTAGCTTCACCCACAATTGCCTTAAAAATCCCTACTATTCAACAACTTTGCAAATAATGTGTTCTTTGCAAAAATAAAATCAAGCCAGAGGGATTCATTGCATATAAAAAATTACACGACACTATTAATTTTTAAAATCAACATAATAAGCAGTAGTAAAACATCCTGTAGATAGAGCCAGTCATTCACAACATCCACCCTCAAAACATGAGTCAAAACGGTTTTTATTTGCATGGCCAAAATAATATTTGATCCCCTTGCAACTCTTTTAACCTCCCTCTAACAATTATTAGCTGCAGGGGGAACAAACTGCTTACTCTGATGTACAGCCACTCCAGCAACACCTAAACATTTAACAGATAATTACAACACCATGGACCAAAAAAAAAAAAAAACAACCCCCAAAAAACCACCCCAGATTAACTTCCACCATTCAACACACTGCAACAGTGTCTTTAGGACTAGGTCGAAGGGGGCAGCTTTACTTTTAAAAAGGTCATTTCCCTCCAATTCTTTCTTTACAATGTTGGTGGTTTCAATCCATATTTCTTTGCAACTTCTGTCTGGGCATAGGCAGCATCACAGAGTGAGTAGAGGTGAGCCATTTCCATCTCAGATTTGGCTAGGTTAATAGCTTTATTGAACATTTCAATGGCTTTATCCAGATTGCCTCTGAAATAAAGGGGAAAGGTTGCATTAATATAAAGGAAATAAAACTTGATATGACAAGAAAAAAGCCCATTCTAAAACCTGAGACTAAAAATAATCCAAAGAAAATGCCTGGGTTAGAGCTGCATTCTGAAAGCTGAACTTTCCTCCTTAGCAATCACCAGTATTGTTATGGATATACAAGTCCTTTATCAAATACCGTAAGTTAAAGCTTAGCAGTTACATGTGGATATTAAAAGAATGTGTGGTTTTTTCCAATTGAAGATAAATTTGCAGCTTTGTTGGTGTCCTTTAACTACCATATGCCATTTTTCTCTCAACTTCCTAATAGGCATTATTCGGAAATCTGTGTCCCTGTTTATCTGGTCTTAGAAATTCATTATGATGAAAGTATTTCTGAGATGCTGGATGCACAAAGATCTCTGAATGTCCGTGTCTCAAACAACAGCTTCATTCTTTAATGTGCTAATTAATGTGATTGTTCTGGCCAGCTTTCAAAACTTTCTCTAAAATACTAGATACCCTATGGAAAATGTAAAGGTATACAGAAGTATGGCCCCCAAAAAGGTGCAACTTATATGATAAACAATTTGAGCAGGTTGTTTGTTTATTGCTGTTGTGTGGCCAAAACTCGTAGCTGTGAGTCCTGGAAGACCTGCAGACCTTTCCCCACCAGGCCTGGGAGGGCAGGGCCCTGACTACAAAAGCTTGGGCTGCTGAACAGAATCTTGGGCTGGGGTATAGTTTAGGGGGTTTTGTTTGCGGGAGGGTTGTTGCTGTTATCAATTTTATCTATATTTATCTATATTTTAGATCTTGTGGAAATTTATGTGGAAATTGTTCAATTTGGTTGTGTGCTCTTTGATGTTTTCTTTATTGTTTATGACTTTTGTTAGGCTTGTAATTAGGTGATGTTGTTTATGCTGTAAGCCACCTTGAGCATGGTTTATACTATGGAAAGGCAGCATATAAATAAAATGGTGTATGTACGTATGTAACTATGACTCTGCTTCCGTAATTCCTGCATTGCCTACAACACTTTTTGCAGTTTAGGCAACATCTGCTGGGGCCCACATCCAGACCTATATGCTATGAGCAATCTTAACTCTAAGGCTGCAATCCTAGGCCCACTTCCCTAGCATAAGTTCCATCGAATTCAGTGGGACTTAAAGTAGCTTACATATGACTACCCTATAATTAGGTGTGGGTGGAAGTACACATATCTCTCTGTGTGTATAGACACAGACACAGATACACACTGCACTATTATATACTGCATCATGGTGCTTCAATGTCAGTGAGACCACATTGTTCTCTACTACGGAACTGGCCCAGGGTTATAGTGCTTTTGTCCGAGGTTGGTTTCCAGCCAGGAAGCTTTTCAAAGTTTAGTAGCATGGAATGCATAATAGCTGCTTGTCTGTTATCAAGCTGGAATTGTAATTGCACCAATATGATAGTAGAGAGCTGATACTGGTTTAGTAACAGCTGATGCCAAAATGTACTTCAGCTGAAGAAAAATCAACATCAGTTCTGCAAAGGAAGTCGCTAATGACTTAAAGCACTCTTTTTCAACTAGTACATCAGCACCTAACTAGAGAAGCATTTCTCAACCTTGGGTCCCATATGCTGTTAGACTACCACTCCCATAGCCAGAAGGGGCAGCAATCATGGATAATGGGAGTGGTAGTCCAACATCATCTGGGGACCCAAGGTTGTGAAAGACTGTACTAGAGGATCGGAGCCTGATCCAAGGGATATTCACTTGGCACCTAGAGCACAGAAGAGGGAGACGGGCAATGAAGCTTATCCCTTTACCAGCAGGGTTGGAGTACTGGATCAAGCTGGTGGGCTGGATCCTTACTTCCCAAACCCCACAGGGTCACTTTGACAAGTGTGTGGAACCATTCCCTTTGCAGACTGGCTTGACAGTGTCAGGGGACAGATTATCAGGCTCGTGTGCCAGAAGTTCCCCACTGCTGTGCTATAGGGCCATCTGCTTCCAACAGTCTCGAAGGAAGAATCTGATGACAGTAATGTAGCATTCTAGGCTCCCAAACTGGAATATGGTACTTACCTTTGCACTTCAATTGTCCCCATAGTTTCATATGCAAAGTCACATTTGTTATCAATTTCAATGGCTTTGCTTATAAGTTCCAAACCTTTATCTAAATCCTGCTTCCACTGAAGTTGAAGTAAACTGCAATAAAAACAATTGCAGGCCTAAGTGAATTGTATGAAAACAACAGACCTAACATAGTAGCATTCTAAGAAAGAAAATACAGTCTGAAAAAGTAAAGAGCCCTGCAGTCAAGTAGGCTCTGGATCTAGGTCAGATGTAGTCATTTACATATACAGTGGTACCTTGGTTTGCAAACATTTTGGATTACAAACACGTCAAACCCGGAAGTGTGTGTCCCAGTTTGCAAACTTTTTTTGGATTACAACCCCTTTTTTTGGATTACGAACAAAAAATTTTTGGAGGCCCCATTGGCGAAAGCACACCTTGGGTTACAACTTGTTTTGGTTTACAAACAGACCTCTGGAACGTTGTAAACCAAGGTACTACTGTATACCTTTTGTGACTATATGATTGACAAAATAGAGGCTGGATTCTATTTAAACATGCCAACTTTTGTCTTTGTCAACAGCACAGCTGGATTCAAATCAGGTGAGAGTTCTTGGACAGAAATCCAACTGTTACTGTTGAAGGCAGAAGGTGAAACATTAAGCCTCTCTATCAGTTCAATCACACCTTTCAATCCAGCACATACCAAGCAGATACCTATTTATAAAATAACAATTATAGCTTGAATCCAGTGTGTCCCTACCACGAGGCTCCAATTAGAATGAATCAGTTTTCCACCCTTCAGCCCTCTCTGCAATCCCGCATACATTTCAAGAAGAGGGGGAAAGATAAAACTAGCAACAACAATTATTTCACTTCTTCTACTGGGAGCATCCCATAAGCAGAGCTCCATTCATGGGAACTCTGGATCCAACCCAATAATATCACTATACCTTTAAAACATTTTAATGTTACATTATTACCACCAATAAAGTAAGTTTCAAAAAAATTATGGATTGGAATTTTTCCCCAAAATATTTACAGCTGCCCTTAAATGCTGGAGATCTGATTTAGCATGTTTGACTTTCATTTAGTAAAAAAAATATTACAAGAAGCATGTCTTACTAATTTAATATGTTGCATAAATATCTGAGTAGATTTTCCAGTAGCAATGAACTGAAATATGTGATTAGGAAACAATAGAAGTCCAAGTAGTGTGATTTTAATTCAGTATTCAAACAAACTCAAAGCTTCATTATTGAAATGAGTATGTGTATCAATACTTTTAAAATACACATAACTACTCAATAGCATATTTGATTTCAGTGGAAGGGTTCGATGTGGAGGCACTGTTAACATATTTATTTTAGTATGCCTGAAAAGTTGCACATATACATACTTAGGATTATTCATTCTGTCACTAGAACTGCATAAAACTCAGTGGAACATTTTAACTGAAAGATAACATAGTGGAATTTTTTCCACGCCACGTCCATTTACTAGGGAAGGGTTTTATCCCTCTGTGTCACCCACCTGGTGGAACGGCTTCCATCAGTGTAATGGAGAGCAAAGAAGTTTTCAATGATTCTCCTCCCTCCAATATAACCTGTTTAAGAGTCCCTTAACCTTCTGGACCACAGGCTGGAGCACAGGTAATCCAAAACTGCTTCAATCTCCATTTTGTTAACAGAAGCTTTACCATCAGTTGAGCGACAGGACTGGATACAACCCATTATCTTTTTAGACAGATTATTTCAGATCTAAAATTTAGGAGACGTTTTCACACATACAATAAACCACAAAAGTGGACCTGCAGATAAGTCATAAATGTAGCAAGCAAGTATAGTACTTACCCTTTATGAACATAAGTAGTAGCATTATCTGGCTCAAGATCAATACATTTATCGTACATTTCATCAGCTTTGCCAAATTGCTGCTGATCTGTTAATGCCTGTATGAATAAACATAATTGAATAATAAAAGAAGATGTAGTTTAAAGACTAAGTTCCCATTCTTGTATACCTCTCCAAAAATAAGTGGCATATACACAATTTTTTCACAACTGAAGAAAAACATACCTGGGCATATAGTGCATAGCCTTCAGCACACCTCGGGAATTTTTTAATAACATCTTCGAAGCCTTTCATTGCCGACTGTACTTGTAAAGCGTTATTTCCAGTATAGGCTTGACGATACTGTTAAAAAAAAACAAGTGACTATGTAAAAAATAAAAACATGGCAGAAAACTAATTTATTTTCATCTAACCTCCAAGCAATAACTAATATATTCTGAAATGTACACCATCAACTTCCTGAAAGCAAAACAGTATTTTGACAAAATATTTGACTGCTTGACAGTAAAATCCTAATAAAATCCCATATACTTACCAATGCAAAACATTTCTGTGCTTGTGCCAAGGCAGAATCTGGCCGCAAACGGATACATTCATCAAAATCTTCTACAGCATCTTCAACTTGGTCAAGCAGAATTTTTAGCTAACACAAAGAAAGAAGTATGAGCAAAGCTCTGCATGCTGTACAAGGAAACGTCAATGCCACTGATAGAAATACCAGGAAAAAATCATTCCACACTCTAATTACCAGGGAAGATAGGCCTACTCCAATTAGAAAATATATTTTGCATGGGTAATTTATAACCAGCTGCCTAGTACTTATCTCTTGTTTATAGCAAGTTCGGCATCCATCCTCATTTAACACTAATCTTGCACTTCTCTCCAGTTGCTTACTTTTTAGCAGTTAAGAGATATTTAAGAACTACTCAAATATCAAAGCAGTTGTCAATCTCTCTCTCTCTCTCTAATATTCTGTAACAATATACTCTATATCTATCTATCTATATGTTACAGAGTATCTGATTTTGAAGGGGAAATAATCAAAACAACTCCTACCTACTACGAACTATCCCAGGATTATCACTTTACATTCTACTATTTTAATATTATATAGATATTTGCATTGGTATGTATGCCACCCTGGAATCCCTTTGTGGATGAAGGTATGGGTGGGAAATTTAATAATAAGTAAAATAAATACCTGCCCTCTGTGATGGTAAACATCTGCATTCTGAGGATCAATATCGGCAGCCATATTAAAATCTTGAGTAGAGAGCAGAGGTTGTTGTTGTTGCATATACATACTGCCTCGCTTGATGAGGGCATTAGCACGAAGCTGTTAAAAGGAATAATAGAAATTATAGCTGCCAACTAAAAAGTCTTTTCATCCCACTTACCTGGGAGTAAGTCATCCCACTTACCTGGGAGTAAGCCCCAAGGAATTAAATGGTACTTACTTCTGAGTAGACATAATTAGGACTGCAGCCCAAGTTCTGATAGCATAGTTTTAAGCAATCAGTCATGGAGTCTATACTTGAGTAGTATTTGCAAACTGAACATGATACTGAACAAAATTACTACCATTTAAACTGTTAAGAACCCCCAAACAAGGCTTAAAGCAAGCCATGACACAGTTAAAGGTAAAGGGACCCCTGACCATTAGGTCCAGTCGTGACCGACTCTGGGGTTCTGGCGCTCATCTCGCTTTATTGGCCGAGGGAGCCGCCGTTTGTCCGCAGACAGCTTCCGGGTCATGTGGCCAGCATGACTAAGCTGCTTCTGGCGAACCAGAGCAGCGCACGGAAACGCCGTTTACCTTCCTGCAGGAGCGGTACCTATTTATCTACTTGCACTTTGACATGCTTTCGAACTGCTAGGTTGGCAGGAGCAGGGACCGAACAACGGGAGCTCACCCCGTCACAGGGATTCGAACTGCCGACCTTCTGATCGGCAAGTCCTAGGCTCTGTGGTTTAACCCACAGCGCCACCTGTGTCCTTCAAATGTGTCCCTCTGAAAAATGACACAGTTACAGGGAGACAAATATCCTAGATCCAGAGAACTGAATTGGGTGCCCAGCTAAAATTGGATTCTTTGTTCTTCATTCCTCCCATAACACAGGGCTAGTCATATTATATTGAAGACCCAGGCACCCTTGTCATGATCTGGTATTTCTCTTACTCCTTCTGCAATTTAAGTTTCATATAGCCCTGGCATGGGGAACCTTTGGGCCACCAGATGTTGCTCAACTAAAACCCTCATAAGCTCCAGCAAGCAAAGCCAATAACCAGCAATGATGGGAGTTGTAGTTTAGAAACATCAGGAGGGCCAAAAGGTTCCACATGCCTGATATACCCTAACGCAGTAAATACATATGGTGGCTCATGGCCAATCAGTGGTTAATAGAAACTTTGTGAGCAGTTTGTCAGGAAATGGTTATGCAGGGTTTCACTTCCTGGTTAGGAGTCAGAAGTGCTTTAGAAGTCTGAAGCAAAGATGTGATTTATGGCCAGGTCTCCTTGGCCAAAAATTTGAAATTCGCCCATTTCTAGGATAATTTTGTTTAATGTCTGTTACACAATGGGTGAAAGTAAATATTGGGCAATGTATAATGCCAATCCTGTGCTTGCAAGGAACTGAAGGGGAGAAAAGGCTGGCAATATGCTTAATTCTTAGTCCACCACTTTTCCTCTGTGTATGCCCTCCACCCCCCAGCCCCAGGGTAGTGGAAATTATTTTCAACATTCACTTATTGAAAAAAACACTTAAGCCATCACACTTGAATCCTCAAAAGGCATAGTAATAACAATATGTACTGGCTGAGGTCAGGTAAGAGGCAACATAGTTACTTATATATTCTACTCAACAGCAGAATCACAGAAATAAATGAACAGAATATCACTGCTTCATCAACTGCAAAACATTTCAGGAAAATAAACACATTCATCACTCACCTTTACATTGGCATCTTCCATGCCAATAACCTGATTCAGATCAGGTTTGGCAGCGTTTGCATTACCAATAAGCAGGTAGAACGTAGCTCTTAATAGTAAAGCTTCTGCCATATATTTTCCTTTAGCCTCAATTTCTTTAGTACACTCACTAATTATTTTGTCATAGTTTTCTTCTTCCATATATTTCTTTGCCTTTAAATAGCCAGAGCTGAAAATAACATGCATAGTGGTCATTAATGGACAGTGAGGAATTCTCCCTAGTTCTAATAAAAAATTATGGAGAAGGCATTTTGGGTGGTATCACTGGCCTATACATTAACTCACAAACCAATTGGTCCAAAATATCCTATTCCTCATCAATCCAGCTTTTAAATTTTCAAATATGCAAATTAATAATTTACTTGGGTGTTATCAGAACTATTTCAACAGACAACACATATTAAAGCACACAATCAAATAACAGATAAATGTTAAAAAATGTTTCAAGAATTTATCTTAAAAAAAGGTTTCAGTATCCCACATACTCTGACTTTGTAAGGTGGTGATGGCCTTGAAACTAATGGTTTGAGTAACCTCCAGTTCAGAATGTTCACGTGTTCCGATTGACTGGTTGAATCAAATGCACTGTGTGTACACACACACGCGCACCACTCTTCAATGTGTAGCTTATGGTGCCATTCCTTTCCTATCTATGACCCATCTTCAGCAAAACTGAACACTCGAATTAACAGCATGTGCATTTGACATTCTCTTGAAACTGAACAACTGTCACTTCTCTTTTTGTATGCTCTCATACTCAACTATCAAAAGAATAATTTCTGCTGCTCAGAAAATAAAATGTTATTTAAAAGACTTTAATACAACCCTTTATTTAATACTAGCTTTCAACAACAAAAATCCCAGGTAGCTATCAGAAATGAAACTAAACACAAACCTTTGTTCTAGTAATACCTGAGATTTAACCTCTAATCCTACTATTTGCACATTTATAAACCATAGTGGCGGTGCTTTGGGTATTCCTTCCATAATAAAGAAGCATTTGTTTTTAAAAAGCAATAAATGTTTTTGCTTATTGTTTAAATTTATACATTTTCTTTTTGCACATATGCCTAACACTCTGAAAATGATTCTCCTCCTGCACTACAAACATATTCTACAGTATCAGGCAAGTTGGTAGTGTACAGCTAGGGCAAACTTAAGCCATGTTCTAAGCAATTATTTTCCTTACAGATTTTCAAAGCTGAAAATATACAGCACCATGCATTTTACCTTTCTTATAAAGCATGCTTTAGAAACATAACGGTTTGTCTACTTAATTCTAAGAAAATGTCACTTTCTGTGTACTTCTTGGATCGATACCTATCTTTCTGACTCAGTGGACCACCACAGAGGGAGGTGTATGACTTAAGCCAAGGAAAGAATCATAAAAGGGATGCAAAATGTCATGCTCCCTCACCCCAGCCTTCTTTCTTTCACTCTTTCCTCCTGCTAGCTCTAGCCATGGTTAAGTCTTGTGATGGTACCAACTATAACCAGGCTTCAATTAATGCCTAACTAGAATTTGAAGATAGTAAAAAACAAATCCTGGTTAATATTAACCGTGTCTGACCCACAGAAGTAGGGAAGCAAATACGCATTTGTCACAATGCTAATATTTTAAGCACAGTTAAAGCAACATCAGGATAATTATGTCCAGACAAGTCCACAGATCAGTCTCCATACCCTAGCACTCGAAAATGCACAACCTAACATCAATTTTTTAAAAAAGATATGGGGGGGGGGAGAGATCCGGGAAATTACAGGCTGGTTACTGGTGGAATGTATTGTTAAAGATGAAATAACCAAGCATATAGAAAAACAAGGCTTGCTGAAGTAGAACCAGGATGTCTTCTGCTAGGATAAGCCCTGCCTCACTAAACTATTAAGAGTTCTTTGAGAGTGTAAGGAATTATATAGGTCCTCTTATGGATCACGAATTGGTTAAGTAAAAGGAAGCAGAGAGTTGGAATAAATGGGCTGTTCTCCCAATAGAGGGATGTAGGAAGCAGAGTCCCACAAGGGACTTGTGCTTTTTAACTTGTTCATAAACAGCCTAGAGTTATTGAACTGGTCTTTGACCGTAATAAGAAATTACTTACTTACTTACTAGCCTAGAGTTAAGGGTGAGTAGTGAGGTGGCCAAGTTTGCTTTTGATATTAAGTTGTTCAGGGTAACAATAACAAAAATGTGAAAAGAGGATTAGACAAATTAATGAACGATGAGACTCTCCTGCTACTGTGCTTAGGGCCTGCTTCTGGCCTTCCAATATGCATCTGGTTGGCCCTTCTATAAATGTCTGTCCAGTACAGTACAAGTTAACAAGAAACTAACAACAAAACCAAATACCAGCTTCCAAGTTGAGGATAGAGACATTTAATAACACTCTTATCCAATGATAGAAATCAAAACTATTATTATCATTAAAAACAAGCAGCAGTAAACATTAATTAGGGGTGACCCCATTTCCACAAAAAGTTGAAAATGTTTTGCGAGTCTTAAAGTCTCACACCCTCTTTTTAAGAAAAGAAATCATGGTACATGCCTTCCTACAACATTGCTACAAATCACTTCTTGCTCACTGTCACAACATCTACCCATCAACCATACCTTATTACAAAATCACACACCCTTACACACAAATACATTAGCTAGACCTGTTACTCCGTGTAGGTGCCACAAGCAAAAGGTGAGCTGGTCCTCACACTGGATGCAGACTCCTACTACTGGAAGGAATGTAAGCACTAGCTTTATTTAAATTTTCCTGTTTAATTAATTATATGTGATACCACAGCAAAAGTCCATAGTTATAAAGATGCAGAACAGACAATGATGAATACTAGAAAACCGAAAATTTACTCACTTAAGTTTATCATTTACTTACTTTTCTTTTATGACAGAGGCTTCTCCTTCTTTATCTTTATCTTCATCAGATTTCTCTCCCCTAAGAAGTGGTTGGGAGATAATGTCATCTGTGAAAGAGCTGAAGTATGATTTGATAAATTGTGGTGAAGGCATCAGAGGTTCTCTGTTCTGAAATAAGATGGACAGTGTTGGTTCAAATGCCATTTCTAATTTTTTTATCAGTCAATAGCAAGTAACTAATCCAACCGAAATTAGCACACAATTTAATTACACTTTTAAAAAACTGATTTCTGGTTCAATTTCTAAGTGCAGTTTAAGTGCTGGTGGCAGCCTATGAAGTACTAAACAGTCTGGCCAGGGTTTTTGAAGCACTTTTCCTTCCTTATCAGCCTGCTGATTCTTTTCCATCTTCATGAAGACCCTTCTTCTATTCCCACACCTAAATTAAGGGGGTGCTAATGAGGGTGCTAATTCTCACTCGAGAATACTCTTTCATGGAAAATCTGGATGAACACCATGCTGTTATTAATATTCCAGGTCAGGAGGACTCTTTTCCTGTAATATTGATACAACTGATGATGTCTTGCCGGTTTACCATGATCACTGGTATTGTAGTTGATTCCTTGCTACTGAAACTGATAATTAAACTATCTACAACACATTATCCTACTGAAACCAAAGTATGTCTAACATAAATAAGACATACATCCATTTCCCTTCCCTTCCTGTTTTTCTTATGTTTACTTTTAAATAATAAGCTGTTTAGGGTAGGAACCTGGTTTTTGTTCTTTGTGGAGAGCCATGTATATACCGGAAAATGGTTGTTTTTTGGCATGTTATGCAGAAAAAGAAGGATAAATATCGTAAAGTATCTGACTTGTGGACTTGCTGCTTCTATTGCCTGTATTGGCTACTCCCACTGTGGTTATCAGCAATCCTTACTTTCACTAGGACCAGTTTTCAAATCACTTCACACTTGCTATAAAAACCATTAGCACAGCTTTATTCTTGTAACTACCACCAAATGGCAGGTGTGTTACTATTACAACCAATATTGAAAACATACCTTATATTTTTCTTTGGCCTTTTCTTTCCCAAGAAGTTTAAGAACTTTATCAGCTAGCAACATACTTTGCTGATTTTGAAAGCCTTCTAAAATGCACACTGCAGTGACATCTGGGGATTATAAACAGAAAACAATGATATGAATTATGAGTTCTTTAATCCTTGAAAAACTTTATAGCCAGTTGCCACAATGTACATTTTATCCCTCTGAACACATGGCTTATACATAACCCTCTTTGCAGCCAAGGATTCTGAAAATAAACTTATATTCTTTTGCTGAATTCAAATAACTTCTGCATCTTTAACTTTAAAATACAACATACTCACCTTCTAAACATTCTTTCTTATTGTCTAGCTTCTCATGTGCCTTTGCACGCCTGAAGAGGGCTTTTATGTATCTGGGATTTAGCTCAACTGCCTTTGTACAGTCTTGTGCTACCTCTTTCCATTTTTGCTGTGGATATAAGAATAACCAGTTACAAATAAGCCATTTTCTCAAAGGAAAAAAAATTACAGGAGATTTCTACGACTTTCAACGCTGCAACCTAGTATGCTTTAATAGTTTTTAGTCCGAAATGATCTTATCTTCAGATGCTGCTCTAGATTTAAGTTACAAATCCATCAATGCAAGCCTGTGCTTGTTTACTCAAGAGCTAAGTCCCAGTGTGCTCTATGCAACTTACTCCCAGGTTGATGTGTTTAGGATTACAGAAAATGGTTACAACTACAGAGTAGTCTTACTAAAGTATTAGTAAACAGCTTTAAAAGTTTTGAGTATGGAGAGCAGTATATTTATTAATTTTCTAGAGCAGCATTAGGACAAAAGTAAATATAGTTTGCAGAATACAGAAACAGTAGAGTAAGCCGACAAACAAAGAGAGTAGCCAGTATTTAATCAGAAATGTAAGGTATGGAAGTTTAGAATCTAGCACTCCAAGAAACAGTGTCATCTTTAAAACCAAGAGAATCTCAGGTTCCATTTCAATTACACAGTCAGGCAACTGGGAACGTGATAATCTGTATAAGGCAGTGGTCTTTAGGAGATGCAACACAGCCATGTGTGAATCCTGCAATTCAGAACTTCCAAACCACAAAACTCACGAGTTTCATTTGGGTGTTCAACCTTAGCCTAACAAGGCAGGATATGCCCAAGTCCTTTGCTGCCCCCTCCATGCAAATGGGGAACAAGTGAGACAGCTTCAGTTAACCACAGCTTCATGTGTGAACTGGGAAACTATGGTTAATGGCTCCCAAACAAGCCAGGATTTGTTATCCAACTTTATACTATGGTTTAATATATTCACTTGTTTGGAAGGCATTAACCAGTTTCCCAGTTTGTATTTATCATAAAGCAATAGTTAACTTCTTCTTCATGGTTTGTTTCCCTGCTCACATGAAGAGGATGTGTCTGAGTGCATGGAACTTATGCATATCCTGGATTCTTAAGTCTGAATTTGATCATGAAAACAAGGTCTATGTGCTGTTTCTCCCTACCAATGAATTGCAAACAGCAAGTAGCACTTATGAATTAGAAGAATTTTAAACCTCTGCATGTGCAGAGTTTAATGCCTAGGGGGCTAGAACAAATAAAATGTCTAAACATACAAAAAAGCAGGTGAAGTCTATATTAATAATGTTTGTATTTAAGATACATACCAGTTGCTCATATGCTGCAGCTCTGTTCTGATAAAAAGTAGAAAGGTCAGCATTTTTCTCAGGCGGACATAAACTGATGGCTTCGGTATAGCACTGAATGGCTTGCTCATATTTCCCAGCTTTAAAATATTTGTTGCCTTTGTTCTTTGCTGCTTGGGCTCTATCAAGAGGGCTCTGGAAAAAAAGATATATTTACCATTCATACATATTTTGAAAATACCAAAGGGTGGTCTTAATAAAACTTTAAAGTCTCCAGAGCCACCTTATAGAAACTGAGATATGAAAACTAGGAGCTAAACAACACCTTAAAACCTAGGTTATGGGCGCAACAATGGAATGTCTAGGCACATTTTTTAATAACAAGAATACAAAGCTGAAAATGAATGAACTGCAGCTAAAATATTATGTTCATTTTTCACACAGTCTAGTCCTTCCCCTGCCCACCCCCCATATATTCTTAAGAGGGTCTCTTCTCCAGTCTTCAGAGAGTATCTGCAAGTGGGGAGGCAGGAAAAGGTCCTCTTTTCCTTCCACTCTGCAGTTTTAATCTGAAATCTTAGGCACAGTACTGTACCGAGCTAAGAAACTGCTCACGCTAATGAAATTCCATAGCAAAATGCGCCTAGAAAAATGGGAGTTTCGAACATTGATGGGGGCTGATCACAAGAAAGCCACTATTTTATAAAGATGCTCCTTCTATAGGTAAACAAAATACAGCATTCAAAATGTGGCAAAGATTTAAACATTTTCCCCGCCTTTATTTAGAGCAATCTATATATAGAGCATCTTTAGAGGAGGCCTATATGAATCTCAGCTATGTATGGTTATAAGATGATGTGTATAAAAGGCTGCCACAGCTGCCAGCTGAGAGGACTGTTTAAAATATTTCCCTAGCTTTGTGGTGTAGATCTTGCTACCAATTTAAACATAAACATACATTAAACATACTCTATCACACTAAGATTATTATTTTAATAAAGAAAATAGAAGTAGAAGATAAGCCTCTTTTTATTACCAGCACAGGAAGGCAATATAGCTTACACATGTATCTCCTTTCAAGTCCAAGAGAATACACAACTTAAGAGAGAAGACTGTTATGGTCACTGAACATTCTGTGATGCTTCTTGCTTCCTAATAGTTATGAGTGACCAGTTGATACTCGCACAATGACAGCTAACAAGACAGCCTTCATGCTTTCCTGTTCACTTGGAACCTATGATAAGCCTTTGAAAGGCAACATTCCCCAACTAGAAAGGAGGCGCTAAGAGAAATTCGTGTTAGTTTGAACTTTAAATTTGGACTCCTAGAGAGGCAGACAAGAGAGCTGAGTTTAAGCTGGAGTTGACTAGAACTGGGTTCAGTCTTGGAGCTGAGTGAACTAGTTATTCTCTGGGAATCTCAGACATGACCAGCAGCTATATTACTAGCTTGCTTGCTTCCATAATGCTTTGCTTATTTTTTGTAAACTAAAAACCAAGTATTTATAGGACACCATGTATCTCTAGGGTTTTTTGTTTTTTTGATAAATAAAACACTTAACTCTGTAGCACTGAACCTAGACAATTCTCTGCTCAAGGAAATGAGATGTGTGTTGAGGATGTTACTATGGACTTTTATTATTAAACTGCTCAATGTACAACCAATGTGGTGACATAATTACATTCTCACTTGCAGCAATAACTAAGAATACATCTTCAAACACTATGAATTTTGTTTATTTCTAAGAGGTCAAGTGAAAGAATTGACTTCTTCAAAATTAATGTTTTTAAAATTAAGACTCCTAGTTCTAGGGGTATAACCTATTTCAATGGTAAAATTTACATTATGGCCTCAATCCAAAGCTTTGTGGATTCCTTTGCAAACACAAGAACTTCAAACATGAAGCAGGCACAAGGCTGTATTGCATGACTTAGAAAATCATGTTGCTCACAATGGAGAATCCCTACAAGCATGCAAAATATCCTCTTAATTTCTACATTGAAAGAAAACACATCATAACAAAAATGTTAATAATTGAGACATTAGTTGCTAGCAGATGAAATCTGTACTTCCTGTACAAAACTGCTCAAGTGCCATAATAGAGACTTAATGTCATTTAGTCTTGCAAAGGCTGTTTGAATAGCACTTTATGATTACTACCTTGTCTCTCAAACACAAACTCCCTAAACGAGATAATGCAGAAGAGTATATTTGTTCATTTGTAAAGAAAACTATGGTAAAACCAAGCTGATAAAAAGGTTTGTGGTAAAAAGTAAACACTAAAGGAATGTGCATTGGTCTTCATTATTTTTCGATGTCACAAAGCTTATGAACAAGGCCTTTGTTTTTAGGGACAGTGTCTTCTCAAGCAGAATGAGGAATTTGCTGTCATTTAATGGGCATGATCTCAGTGAAGCCAACATATGACAAAAATTGACTAGAGATATATAAAGGACAAGTTTCAGCTTTTTCCTTACAGATGTATAATTAAAAACTGTCTTTCAAACAACACAAGCAATTTTTTATTCTTGTGGTCCAAGATCAGTACCAAAATGCCAGTGAAAAATAACTGGCACCAACCACCCATACCACAAAATGCCTCTCCAACAAAAATGCAGTGCTTGTCTCTATAAAATATTAAAAGCCTGAGATTTGGAATACCTTTGGCTAGAAAAAGATTTCCAAATTCTACGCACCTACATCATTTGTTAAGAAGGATAGATGACTTGGGGACTTTTTAATATTTTCCATTCATTAATACTACAACAACAACAACAACATACAAATGCTATTAAGCTGCCTAAACAATAGAAGATACTTATACAACAACAACATACAAATGCTATTAAGCTGCCTAAACAATAGAAGATACTTATCCTATTTCACTTTAAAGAAAGGAATATATATAACTACTCATAAGATCAATAAGTTTTAAAAGTGCACTTTTAAAAATTTGCCATTAATTATTTAACCTGATATGGAAAGTGCTAATATTCATTCTCCAATGCTTGCAAAGAGAATGCAAGCATTTCAATTTCACAGGATTTCCTCAGATAGATTAAAAAATAAAATTCCAAGTTGGAAACAGAATTAAGCAACTGTTCACATCATGCAATCGGACTACACATTTTCAGGGCACAACAATGTAGGTAGAGCTACTTTGAGAGCTGTGCACCATGTAAAAAATAAAGTCCTTACTTTAAGCCATGCTATATATTCCTAATCCATGGCCTGGCATAATTGGCAATTAACAGCTCCCATCAAATGCAAGAGACTATATACATTTCATTCTAAGATTAGACTATCGAATGACTGCACTCTGCTTAGAAATCTCAGAGACACCAAGAACTTTCATTTTTATCTATAGGAACATTTGCTAAGACAGCAATAAGATGCCTGACACGACATTAAAACAAGAACTGTTTCCAATTAATGTATCTTCCTCATGAGTATTTTTATCTCTGCCTTTCCTAACTTGCACTGAATTACCTAGAGAGGGCACTAATTCCCAAACTGTGTGGTCATAAGTGCTAAAGTGTGACTTGAAAAAAGTTTCAGAGCCTCAGACTAGGCCATGGGGAAAGACCCCATACAGCTTTAGCTGCCAGTATGTGAAATGAGACACCATCCTGAAGACAAAGATGCACTTGGATTTCCCAAAACAGTCATCAGTACAGATGGCAAGAGCATGGGAATCTCTGAAGCATTCATTACCACTGCCCAGAAAGCACACCTCCATGATCTGGACACCCTGGGCAGTGACTTAATTAAGCACAGGGGGAAAGTAAGTCTCCACTATGATGCACTTTGAACTAGAGCATCCTGCAGTTACAAGTTATCTTTTGAATTTAAAAACAAAATTCCTCCTATTTTAATCAAAAGTTGTTTATGGAATCAAAAGTTTGAGAAATATTTACGTAAAATTTCAAAATATAGGTCTCTAAATCAAAGCTATTGCATTTTATTTCAAAGCAGTCTAGCTGAATCAGACCAAAGGCCCACTTAGTCCAGCATCCTGTTCTGTGACCAACTACATACCTATGAGAAGCCCACAATAAAGATATGAGAACAGCACTTGTATTCCCGAGCAACTGCTAATCAGAGGCATACCACCTCTAAAACTGGATGCAATACTCAGCCATTGATAGCCTTATCATCCATGGATCTGTCTAACGCAATTTTAAAGTCATCCAAACCGATGGTCATAACTACCATCCTGTAGCAGAGAATCCTAGTTTAAATATGTGCTGTGTGAAGTACTTCTTTTTCTCTTCCAACATGAATCTTCCAACATGAGCTTCACTGGATGAGCCCTGGATTCGACTACAGTGGTACCTTGGTTGTCGAATGGCTTGGCTCCCAAACAAATCAGTTCCCGAACGCTGCAAGCCCACAAGTGAGTGTTCTGGTTTACGAACGTTTTTCAGAAGCCAAACATCCGACACGGCTTCCGATTGAGTGCAGGAAGTTCCTGCAGTCAAACAGACTCCCGGAACAGATTAAGTTCAACAACCAAGGTACCACTGTATTATGAAAGGTGAAGAATGTTCTTTTAGCCACATTCTCCACACAGTGCATCATTTTACACATCTCTATAATGTCTCTCCTTACCTGTCTTTTCTTCCAAACAGAGAAGCCCCAAATGTTATATAACTTTTTCTCATAGAGGAATTGCTCCAGGGCTTTGATTATCTGGTTGCACTTTTCTACATCACTTCCAGTTCTGCAATGCCCTTACTGAAGTCAGGTAACCAGAACTCTACAGTTCTGTACACCTATTTCAACAACTATTTATCCCTGTTTTAAGAACATAACAGACACAGGAGCACAAATTTTAGAATCTACATTACAAATAACTAGCCTGTGGCACTCCAGATGTTGCTGGACTACAACTTCCATCACCCCTGACCCATTCAATATACTTGCTGGGAAGTGGAGCCCAATTACATCTGGACAGTCACAACCACTTAGCTGTCCCGATCTATATCCTCCAGATGGATAAAAATCAGTTCATAAATGCACTGGTTTTTCATGTGCTCAGAGCTCTTTCAAAGAAGAGCAGTAGGCATTATCTGCAAGAGGACTGTACCGCATGCATGACTACATAACTGAATTAGCTGCACAGCCCTCACAGGCAGTGTTCTTAATCCAAGCTGTTCATAAACCAAGCTGTTCTTAAACCAAGGTACCACTGTACATGACCAAAGAGACACGCTTAACACACTTGGAATGTCCTACACCTATAACAGTTAAGAGCTGCCTTGAGGAAGGGCTTTCAAAGGCATTTACACTCTTAAATCCAAACCTATGAAAATATATACTGTATCATCAAGTGGATCCCCCATCTCCCTGTGATGGAGTCTCATAACTGGATTCCCCACTTATTCTAGTAACAGCACTGAGTCTCACAATTGAGGGCTTTGTAAAGGCTAACTCAAGCTCCTATCCCAAGTCAATTGCAAATTAGGACCAGACCCTGTCTGAGGTTTGGGTCCAATTCCTAACGGGCATAAAACCATCTCAGTCTTTCCACTACAGCAGGTTTTTTTCCAGCTTGCCAGGGCCAGCAGCAAGAGGCTAGAATCAATGGCGGGCTGGGGGATCAGCAACTGGAGACCGCAGGGTCGCCCCTGTAATTTACTGGGCACATTTGATCCTATTCTCCAACCGAAACAGAGCGGCTGCCAGATGCCCTCCGAAAGAGAGCGAATCGGGGAGGGCAGAGGAAACGAGACCCCTCACGCGCTACGTACATTTAACTCCAACGATCATTCCCGCCCAGCCAAAGGTGAGGAGGGATTGGCGGAGGCGACAATGGGCTGGGTGTCTTTGCCGCCAGCCCCTGGGAGGGGCCGCGCGGTCTGGCCCTCCGTGCTCCCCGAGAGAGGCCCTTCCACACAACCGAGGGCCGCTGGAACCCCAAGGAACCAGGTTGGGCTCCGACACGTGAGCGGCCTCCGCCAAGCGCGCGCGGCCGCCGCCTCCCAACGGTTTCGCCTCCCCAACGTTCCATTCCCAACGGCCGCCCTCGAGCCCCGTTCCTCTCAGCCCGTCACCCCAGCCCTTCTCACCATCTCGTCCCCGCTGGGGCCATCAGGGTGTCCGGCCCCTGAGCCGTCGGCGGGCCCCGGGCTGGCCCTTCCCTCGGGGGTCTTCCTCTCGCTCGCCCCTTTGCCTCCGCCCCGCGTGGCGCGCCTTCGCCGGCCCCACAGGTACAGGGCTCCGGCCCCCAGCAGCAGCGGCGCCCCCAGCGCCAGGGCCAGCTGCCAGCGCGGCATCCCCGAGCCGCTCCCGCCCCCGCTGGCCTCCACGGGCTTCGAGGCGGCCATGATCCCCCCGTAGCAGCAGCAGCTACTGCCGCTGTTCCTCCGGCCGCCGCCGAATCAGCCCAGGAGAAAGGGAGAGCGAGGGGTCAACGGAAACGAGGGGCATAACGGGAAAGGAGGCCTATTAAAGCTTCCGCTCGCCGCGTTCCTTCCCATTACCAGCAAGTCCTAGGCTGCATCGCCACCTGCTGGCCGGATGGAGCCAGCGCAGACAGGGCAGAGGCGGAGGAAGGAGGAACACCCGTCCGTCCACCTGCTGGCGGGAAGCGGTGTAAGCGGAGAATGCAGAATCGTAGAATTGCAGAGTTGGAAGGGACCCTAAGAATCATCTAGTCCAATTACTTGCAATGCAGGACTGTGCAGTCACGCAAGGGAATGTTACTGAAATTTCATTTCGTGCAGGGATGAAAAAATGTACATCTTGCTAACACGTGACATATCTTAGACATGTATGTATATCTATAAATACATACGTATGTATGCAAAACTCATAGAAATGGGAACATTTTTTACAATTATGAAATAAAATCACATCAACAAACACCTCATTCAGACAATAAAATAATGAACATTTGTGGGGATCACATCAGCAACCTCTACTCCCATCTAATATACTCTAGTATGAAAACAGCTTATAATGGTGCATGGAAAACTCTTTGCACAATCATGTACCCACTCCCCACCCAGTTGGAACCTGGCAACTGGTGAGTACAGTGGTACCTCGGGTTACAAACACTTCAGGTTACAGACTCCGCAAAGCCGAAAGTAGTGCCTCGGGTTAAGAACTTTACCTCAGGATGAGAACAGAAATTGTGCAGCGGCAGCGGGAGGCCCCATTAGCTAAAGTGGTACCTCGGCTTAAGAACGGTTTCAGGTTAACAATGGACCTCCGGAACAAATTAAGTTTGTAACCAGAGGTACCACTGTACAAACTAAGAACTTCAAAAGAAGGCTACAACATGAAACTACTGAATTGCAGTTCATCAAGAGGTTCAATGCTCTCCTTTGTGGATTGAGTGGTGGGAAGTGTTAACTGGTGTACTAATGCCAGGGTGTTTGTGCTGACAACTTATTTTACTTTGTGAAGGAACTGGGAACTGTACTCCTCACAGAGCACCCTTGACAAACTACAGTTCTCAGGTTTCTCGGGGTCGGGGTGGTTGCATATGGTATGCAACAGCCTTATAGTTGTTTATATTATCTGACCTTAGGAAATATATTTAAATGTGCAGTGAATCCTATACTTACTATAAAAGCTACTTCTTTTCTTTCTAATTTTACTGTTGGTCTCCCACAGCATTCCAACTTCTACTTTTTGCTTGGAGATGACAAATTTGAAAAATATTTGTCTGTTGACGCTGGATTGTCTGGTACACCCACCAGAACAAGACAACTAAGTGACTGTTTTAAGATCAACATGGCTGCTCACCTGCAAACAAAATGCTTCCTGTGTTGCTTCTGCTTGTTTGACTGCAGCATTTAGTGGAGGGAGCACATTGCATTTTCCTCCCATTTTCTTGCCTGCAGAATGCAGTGGAGGAAGAAAAACAGGATTTGTCATTGCGGAAGAAGATGGGGCATGCTTGTTTGAACCTCTAGTTGGATGAGAAGGAGTTGTGGTCGACAAGGGTGCTGGTGCTTGTCTGGCTGATGTTTTCACTGGTGGGAGATGCACACTGAACATTGATGGTGGCTTTGCTGTTGGTCTTAATGGTGGAAGAGTAAAATCTGCCATTGCATATACTTCTGTGAAGCTCTCCTAAGAAGAAGAAGAAGAAGAAGAAGAAGAAGAAGAAGAAGAAGAAGAAGAAGAAGAAGAAGAAATCTCTCAGATTTTATTTTATAAAATCTGAATTCACTCTCTCTAGCCTCCTCCCCAGGAACTTTTTTTACATTATCAACAACTAAAAAGAAATCAGAAAATGTAAAATATATATGACTGAGATAATAACCATAGCCCTATGGAGAATAAGTCTAATCCTTTTCTTTAAAGCTCACAATAGCCCTTACCATGTCCTGTTGCTATGGGCTTCATAAGTTAATCATCATTAATTAAGACATCCTGTTTCATGTTCGTCCTAAACATCCCAGCAATTGATTTAATCTGATGGTCTCTTGAGGGAGGAAGCAGTCTGTTATAAATGTATATGGTTTCTTCACCAGACAGTGTGGTCAGAAAACATGCTTTGCATGTTTATATACTAGACATATAGATTTCAAAAGTTTGTGTTTATATTTTTGTTTGTGTTTATATTTTCCACAGGTGGACCACTTTTTCTGTTCTGGAAATATCAATTCATATATCATGAAACATAATTATAAGAGGAATAAATGTATAAATGCACATACAGTGGCAGATTGGAACCAGTCTTTGGTTGGCACAATGTAGTGTTAGCCAAATTATAGAATCTTCCAAGGAGAGCCTTTTTGTATAGATGCTATATGTAATTTGAATATTGGAAGCGAGAACATGTTATTTTGTACAGTCATTTAAGATCTATACTGTGCTAGTTCCTGAACATGGTCAATACATCAATTCTGCTTCCTGAAATTGCAAGCCAGATCTAAATCACAGCCTGAGCCTTGCAGGCATGTTATCATGGAAAGCTCTCCATTGGTATTGACAGCTGGTGCACTCAACAGCAAGACTATGAAGCAGGCGGCCCAGTTCTCTTGCCACCCTGCAGGGTGTGTGACATTGGGAATTTCTGTAATGGAAAGGTTAGAAACAAGTAGCAATTGTTAAAATAGATTACCAGGGCTTGGCTTGTACATATATAGACAAGACCAAGGGCAGCACTGGACTAATATATATTTGTTGGGTTGCTTTTAGGTGGTAGCATTTTCTAAATAGAAGGGACCAATTTGAAATTACAGCACTATTCCCTCATAGTTGTGTGGATATAATTCAGCAGTGCTGTTTCACATACATATTTCCCGTCTGTACATGGACTATGAAGAGGATGATGATCTTTCCTTTGCAAAATGGATGAGTAGTTTCTGGGGCCATAGTGTGACTGATGAAAGAGAGAGTAGAGCACAGAAGAAGCAGCAGACAAGATCGCTGAGTGAAAGGAGAGCCTCTCTTCCGGTAAGACCGTAAGTAGAGAATGTGAAGAAAAAGCAGAAAATGGGAGAGAAAGGATCATGCCCTGTGGTTGTGTACTTCAGACCTATGGTTGAATTATTGGATGGTGGTTTTATTTATTTTTTAAAAATCCAATACTGTACATAGCAAGATGCGAATCCTAAATGCTTTTCAGCTTCCATGTCAATACAGTAAATTTCCACAACCAGAGCTAATAAATAAAATATAGATGAAAATATTGTAGAACTCAAGCATGAGAATTGTTCAGGATTGAATGAAGAAAATGTTTTTATCCCATAAGACCTTGAGTCAAATTTGCACGGCCAGAATTAATGGACACGTTTTGTTTGTATGTATGAATCTGAGCTGATGGAAGAAAAGTCAGTATGAAGTTTGTTGTGAAAATACTCTGGTTTCTCTTCAGATCACATAAATCTTTCACTTTTACTAATGAAGTTCACTGTGAAATAGGAGGGTGCCTTAAGTTCCGCTCTGGCTGTGTTAGTTACTGTATTTTCAAATTTTGTTTATTTATTTGGAAGTTCAGAGTCTGCACAGAATTAGTGGGGAGCTGGGAAATTTCCCATAGCACATTGCAAATTCCATGGCTACATGAATTGCTCTAAAACAAGATCATCAAACACAGTCCCTTGTCTATGTTTCCATAAGCATACCATCCCTTGCATGTAAAAGATCCTTGCAAGAGGGCATGATTAAATAATGTTGGGGCAGAGGAAGGTTTACCTCCCCCCAATCCTTATAAATCTCCCCACAAGCCCCAACTAGTTTCAGTTGGATCAGAACTCTTTAATAGGTTAAAGAATCCCGAACGAGAGCAGGGGAGATTTGGGTGGGAAGAGGTGTGTCTCACAGCATGCATCTTCTGACCACAAGCCACTCTCCCTTCTGTTTATCTTTTTCTCAGCTGACCTTGAAATAACCTCAGCATTCCCTAGATCCCGGAAGGCAATGAATATGCTCAGTCTCCATCAGGCTTTCTTTTGCAGAGGTTGTTTGGTTTTTTGTTTTAATTAAGAATATGTTTCTGTATACCAGCAGAGTCCTTTGGGTATACAAAACCTTTGGCTTTCTCTGTGGGTGGTCCAGTTCCACTGCCTTTCCGATAGGCATGGGATCTCCAAGTTCATATTACCATATACAAGTGCAACAAAACATTATGATGTATCTCTGCCTCCTAACCGAGTTCCTGTTCAGAGTGTGCATCAGCCAGCTATGGCCTTCCCTAGGACACCCATTCCATTCCACACACACCTTTGTTTTCTATTCTTTTCCAATTGATGCTCAACATTCTGTGGCTAGTGAGCATGCTCACTGGGGCTTTATATGGCTTTGGGTCCCTCAGGCTTAATTAAAAAAAAGGGGGGTTGTAGTTAGGATTCCTTCAAGCATGGTGATACCCCTGCCCCTGTTTCTCACTGTTTTGGCTCCTGTTTGAGGGTGATGGTGTATGAGAATCACTAGGGGAAATGTTAATAAGTTACTTAACATATTCACAAAATGATTACTGGTCAATTAAATTTGAAAATAGACAATGACTCTAGCTAAAATAAACACTTTATGTTTCCCCAAGTTGTTGCATTCACCTAACTTCACTAAGGATCGACACAAACTTTTGGATTCGCAGAAAGTGTGATGAGATGTGAATCACCAGGGGGAACACAGAGTTTTGAGTTTTGAATCTGTTCCAACATGTGCCCAATTGACAGTTCACCATTCCACCCACTATCCATCCCACTTTTTCTATCTAATAGGAAGATTCCAGATAAATTCGGTACTGTGCTAGGGTACTTGGTATTTTCCATCTGGGGAGAACAGGGCAAGAAGAATGTGTGCATGTAAGAGTATTGGAGTCCACATAGGTTCACTTTCTGTGAGCAAAATTCCCGTTGGCTCTAAAATCTTGCTGAACAAATCCCAAAATTGTCACTAAAACAAATGATGTTCTACAAAGCTGTGCTTAAATTGTTAATGCAAAAGGTTAGGGAACAATTATATCTGTAGGTTTATTTTTAATGCATACAATGTGTGTGTGTGTGCTCGCGCGTGTGTGAGCATGTGTGTGAGAGAGAGAGAATATAAATATAATTCATTTAATTTACATCAAGAGTGACTACTAAAAAATGATATACAAATGCTTAAGGTATGTCATACTTAAAAACAATTCTGACACTATTTTTGAACATTTTAAAATATATTCATTACTCTGGTAAAAACCCAGCACCTGTGTCACCTTTTATGAGTAAAGGAAGTAGGGCATTTTCCAGTTCCAGTTTCCACACCATAACCCTATAACACTGCTACGGCATTATTTGTCAGCTAAGAACAGTATTAAAATGCAGCACTTAATATAGTAATATATTGTGAAGCAATGCTTTTCCCCATGGCAAAATCCTTATACAACAACCACTAAAAGTATTGTAAATATCAGCAAAGATCTCTTGCTACATTAATTAAAAGATTCTTGTTTGCTCTTTCTGTCCCTTCCAGATGAGCATGGCAACAAAATTACTGATGAATAACCTGTTAATTGCCTCTTGATTGGCCTCTCTTAATTGCTAGCTCTAAAGAAGGCTTTAATGACTGATTTCATCCTATTTTTAGAATGTTATTTTTATATAGAAACATAAATAAATCTATATACAAATGAAAAATCCATTGCCATGGTTAACAGGAAGCATTAAAAGAGCCGAACATATAAATTGGAAGATTTTAATTAAATGTGCATGAGTGCTAATAAGCTTCAATAGTACTTTTTCAGTCATCACTGAATAAACTTCAAAATCCACAAATCGAAAATGGAGGACAAAACAGACAACACTATAATGTACATATTTGTTCATGTGATTGTCTGGATTTTCCATAAAAAGTGCAGAACAAATGATAACAATTCTAGAGTAAAGTAAATGTGAAAACAACCCATTATATATGCAGTCCACTACTTTTTTCCTAGCCACAACCAACCAGATATCTCTGGGAGCTTACAAAATGGACATAAATGTCCCTAACATCAATTGTTCAGAGGTATACGTAATCTGAACATGGAAGTTTTATTTAGCTAGCGTGTCCAACATCTATAAATGCATCCTCCATGATTTTCAAAATCCTTTTTAGAGACCAGCGCTACAGCCTGTGGTAGTTAATTGTCATACTAAAAGTCTTTCATAGGATCAGTAGAGGGAAATGGGCCTCTCTTTATACCCACATTGTACTCTAATAACTAGATTATCTATTCTGTGAAATTACAGCATTTGTCCTCAGCCTCTTACCCTCTTTGGTTTTAGTTATAAATAATTCAGTTAAAGCTACTTGTCCATATCTGTAGTACCTTCTTTAAAATTATAACTTGCCTTTAAAACATCAGAAGATCTAGAATCTTTCAATTAACTCATTTACAGCCCATTTCCTAAAGGAGTGCTTCTATTGATCAGATCAATATTCACTGCATAGTCACAGTGGGAACAATTCACTAAAAGCTTGTGACAGGAAATCATGTTCTTTGAATGGCTTTCCAGATACAGATACATGCATATAATTCCTATTTCATTATATCAGATAACCTCTCAAGTTGTTAGAGGTTTCTGTATTTCCTCCCCCCGCCACCCAAAAGCAAAATGGAATTCCCTGTGATTCCCTACAAACCATTGGCGATGGTGCCATCAATTTGTATTGGCCCTCAAGGGAATCTTGCATAAAATTGGCTGTTAGTGGCTTTGATTCCTGTATGCATGTTCTCCTAAAGCTGGGGCCTCCTGATGCTAGATTAGAAAAGGGAATTTAGAAACAGTTTGTATGATTAACATGATTAATTCTGTACTCCCCAGTCTCTGCTGGGTAACATAGCAGGATCCTGGGTTTCTCTCTCTCAGTAGCATGAAACGAATAAAGGTAAAGGTAAAGGTACCCCTGCCCGTATGGGCCAGTCTTGACAGACTCTAGTGTTGTGCGCCCATCTCACTCAAGAGGCCAGGGGCCAGCGCTGTCCGGAGACACTTCTGGGTCACGTGGCCAGCCTGACAAAGCTGCATCTGGCGAGCACATGGAAACGCCGTTTACCTTCCCGCTTGTAAGCGGTCCCTATTTATCTACTTGCACCCGGGGGTGCTTTCGAACTGCTAGGTTGGCAGGCGGGGTAGGTACAATAGGGCAAGCACTGCTCTTTGGTGTCTCGTCACCACAACACAGTGGGCCCAAATTAAGGAAGGAGTTTATTAAAGCTAAGGCTGGGGTTACAAACAGGTTTTGGAAAATACAAAGGGCTCTTCAATCTAGTTTTTGAATATTCATCCTGATTTGCTTGCACAGAGCTTATGTGGAAATTAAATTATATCAACTATTTATTGAACATGTGTTCTGATCTTTTTATATAGTAATGTTATACAATATTGAGCATTCATCCTGATTTGCTTGTGGAGTGCTTATACCCCTTCCTGTTATTCATTCATTCCACACTTTTGGGTGCATTTCTCTCTCACTTTCCTTACTGCAAATAGTCCATTTCTTTGGGAAGTTTTTATAGCTGGCATTAGTGAGCTTGCATCTATACTATATTACCCTCATTTGGACAGCTCCTATGAATTCCCAATACAGCAGCTACTGAAGGACCAACCTAACCTCGCAGAAAGAACTTTGTATCATTATCACAGAATGCTTTCTATCTGAATTGTTCTCATATTTTACCTGAACAACCTGAGAACTTTAGTATTAAATGTTGGAGGTTTTAAATCAATAAATAATGACTTTTTAAAAAGATGAATGTCATTGGATTCAGCTGTCACATAAAAACTATCCTTTTTCTCAAGCTTTGAGACATTTTGATCAAGGGTACTTACAGAACCAGATATAAAAACATTAGGAGAGAAAATACATATGGGAGGTAAATATTACAAACTAGAATGTTGCTCCTAGCCAGAAGTCCAAGACATCTGACAAAAAACCTGGCAGGAAATTCCTGTGGAAAGGCTTTCATTTGAATCCAATAGCTGGATGGCTGCAATAATCCATGAAAAAGGTACATAAGGAAATACTTCCAGTCAGATATCAGTCTATGGCCTCATCTGCGCTGTACTTTTGAAGCAATATTATACCACTTCCTCCAAAGAAGCCCAGGAACTGTAGTTTGTTAAGGGTGCTGAGATGTGTTAGTAGATCCCAATTTCCCTCAGAGAGCTACAATTCCCAGAAATCCCTGGGAAAAGGGATGGACTATAAAACCACTCTGATGATACCACTTTCAATTTATAGTGCAGATGAGGCCTAAAGAGTTTTTCCCAATCTAGCATCTGAAGAACAACCAACCTCAAAGTATGCTTGGACATTGGGTAAGAAAGTGGCTGATTCCAGGTCCTTGAAAAATAATGAGTCCATTTCCACTCTGGCACAATATTGCTATGACTAAAGGTTGCAACACTATATCCACTTACTTGGGAGTAGAACTCATTATATTCAATGCGACTTAATTCTGAGAAGGTACATATAGGATTGTGCTGTAAACCATTAGAAAGGGGATTTGGTTATCAGCCTTTAACTGTGCCACTAGATTTCTAAAAAAATGGCTATCTCCTAATTACCTAAAAGCAGCCAAGCAGGAATAATGCTGAAAAATAAAGATAAATCGCTGGTGCTGGGAGGGCAGTTACTTTCTTTTATTTGAACTCAGTGCGTGTCAATAAAAATATCTTCCTTACACACAACAAATGAAATGATAAATAATATACATTTATCACTTATTTCATTATGTCAAGGCGGGTGACTAAAAACCGTGTTCATAAGGAAAGTATTATTTTGACTGCCCCACAGTATGTAGCAACAGCCAGAGATCTACATCTCTTCAAGAATGTAGACATGTGATTTAAAACACACACATGTGTGTGTGTGACTTCATATAATGAATGAAATAGAGTAATAAAACCTATTTTGTGTCAAATTTCTGCATAAAGATTATTTTTATTGCATAATGATTCTTTTTTTTTTTTTTACAGGCCAAGCTTTCTTCCATCCATATGACAAGGCTTCATGGTTCTACCAAGATCCCATCCTCGGGCCACCTAAAAGAACTGCAAGAAGATCAAGATACAAAATGCCATTGTCATATGAAGGCAAGCAAAAAATCCTCAAATGGTAATTCTTCCCAGGGGACAAGTGGACCAAACAGTAGATCAAACTCCATACAGGAATTTTCAGAATCCTTTGAGAAGCAACTGCATTTCAAAAACAAGCGCTCAGTTTCTTTGGTAAGTGCAACCGTTTGTATATGGTAGTCTAATTGAACAATGTGTTTAATTTTACGTAATTTATACTTTTCAAGTGGCGAAGTGAAACGGATATAAAAAGTGCTTAGCCCAACCACCACCACTTCCACTTTCATATCAATATGGAATAATTAGTTGGTCTGGGTCAGCCATGATGTCAGCTAGATTTGAATGGCTTCTCCAACTATCTTGAGCTATTTTATTCAGCTGTCTGACAATGTAGTTGTGTTTCTTTAAAGGTCCCTATATTATATTTAAACATATAGTAAATCAATATGAAAAATACCGGTATTTAATAATTGGAACATTAACTCAGTTACCATATACGTGCCATAGACATATTATTAAATTAATTTTCAGTGCTCTTTTTCTTTCAGGAACCTGAAGGGATGAAAGAGAGGAGAGAAAGAGAAAAACTGCATATTCCCAAGAGCAGGTCTCATAAGAAAGCGGGAGAAAAGAAGGAGCCAAAGAGAGAGCAAGGTGAAGGAGAACACAACACAGAATTTGCAGCAGGGAAACATAGTTAATAATTTCCTGATACCCAGGAATAAAGAGGAAATGTGTTTGCATCCATTAGGATAGACTGACTTTTTAAAGAAATGACAGTATAAAATAGATTCTGACACTTAGTTTTTATTCCCTAAAATTGCAAGTGTTATATAAGTAGAACAAAGCATAAATGTTAAAATTAAAATACTTTGTATTCCTTTGAAGCTGTTTGTATAGACTTGTTAAAAAACTGCTACAATCAGAAACATTTATCTAACAAAAGTGAGCAATAAATTGTCAGACAACCATTCAATGTGTTAATTTACAAACACAAATATAAATATGAAAGGCTTGATGGTTGTGCTAAGCCATATGAAGATGGCTTTTGTTAAAGTTGGAAGCTGAGCAAAGATTCAGCAGTAGGCTCATGAAAGAAGAAGAATCATCCATACCTACTGACTACTGACTTGTGCTGCATGATTTTAAGTTTCATAGATAACAATACAGTGGCACCTCAGAAGTTGAATGAAATCCGTTCTGGAAGTCCCTTCGACTTCCAAAACATTTGGAAACCAAGGCACAGCTTCCGATTGGCTGCAAGAAGCTCCTGCAGCCAATTGGAAGACACGTCGGACATTTGGGTTCCAAAGAACATTACAAACCGGAATGCTCACTTCTGGGTTTGCGGCATTCGGGAGCAAAAACAAGGTGTTCAGAATCCAAGGTACGACTGTATTGTAAACACCTGTATATAGTCATGTACTGTATGAAAACAAATTGAGAGTTATTCTGGATATTCCATGTCAAACCTTGTTCTTTTCTGTTTGTATAAAAGTAACACACATGTTTTAAATATTCACCCAAAACAAATGTATAAATAAAATTGCTTTGTATGTTTAAAATTCTATATAAAGGGAACCAAAACTTTACTGAAGCTATCTAAAGTCTAAAAAAACAACCTCTTGTTAGGTCACCTGTTACACTTCTTTTATTTCTTCCACATCTCTGTTGCCTCATTTCTTCTTTTTCTACCACATTCTCATACCCCTCTCCTGGAACAAACATATGTTTCCACTGCTATTCTCCTGTCTCGCCGATCACATTATGGTACCCCTTCCCAACAGTCTGTGGCACTTTCCAGAATTCATATTACTTTTAAATTCTAAACTTTTTTTTTATATAAATCACCCAATGGGCTTGGGTCAAGGAGTAGTCTATAAAGCAGGAGTTGGGAATCTATTTCAGCCCAGGGGCTATATTCCCTTCTAGGCAACATGCCATAGGCCATAGACCACTGGGTAGTTGTGGCTAGAGGCAAAAGTGGTTGCAGTAGTGAATATAAAGTTAGCCTTTGTACTGTAGGTTAGCATTTGTGCGCACTCAACATACCCTACTCTATCCTCTCTTCAGACAAGCTCTATCCCCTTAACCATTTTGGTTGTTCTTTTCTGAACCTTTACCGGCTCTATACCGTAATATAGAGGTGTGGCAACTAGAACTGTACACATTTTTGTTTAATGCCATGATATTGGCAGTTTTATTTCCGGTTCCTTTCTTGACAATCCCTAGCACGGAATTCAGCTTTTTCACAGCTGCTGAATAGTGGCACCTTCATCATTCAGCCTGGACACTGAGGTCCAGCTCCGAGGACCTTCTGGCGGTTCCCTCCCTGTGAGAAGTGAGGTTCCAGGGAACCAGGCAGAGAGCTAGGATTAAGGGGATGGAGCAGTTCCTTTATGAGGAAAGTTTGCAGCAAATGAAACTTTTTAGTTTAGAGAAAAGGCAAGTGAGAGGTGACATGATAGAAATTTATAAAACTATGCATGGCATGGAGAAAGTGAAGAAAGAATTTTTTTTTGCTCCCTCTCTCAGAACACTAGAACCTCTAGACATCTAATGAAGCTCAATATCTCCCAGATGCATAGTTCTGTGTGGGGTCTGCTGTGCACCCAGGTGCCCTCATACTATGCAGAGAAGAGAGCTACTTTTCTGAAGATAAAATCATAGAATCATGGAATCTAAGAGTTGGAAGAGAGTGCCCAGGGTCATCTAGTCCAACTCCCTGCAATGCAGGAATCTCAGCTAAAGCATCCATGACAGATGACCATCCAACCTCTGCTTAAAAACCTCCAAGGAAGGAGCGTCCACAACCTCCCAAGGGAGTCTGTTCCACTGCCAAACAGCTCTTACTGTCAGAAAGTTTCCCCGCATGTTTAGTCAGGATCTCCTTTCTTGTAACTCGAAGCCATTGGTACAAGTCCTCCTCTCCAGAACAGCAGAAAACAAGCATGTTCTTTCTTCCGTGTGACAGCCCTTAAGTCTGGGAACTGTGTACACACATCTGAGCAGCTCTGCTCAATAACAAAGGCTAGTTCTGAGCAACATAAATTACTGGAGGAGAGATAGTATGTCAACGTCCTCTTTGTAAAGTACTGTATACACTCTAAACAAAAGTTTTAAGAGGACCAATACAGCATTTGTGTCTGGCTATTTGTCATACAGCAACAATAAATCTCTTTCAAAGACAGCATATTTTGATGTTGTTAGTACATCTCCAGAAATAATTTGTGCCATTTAACAGAAAACAATCCCGCCCCCCACCTACCTGGGATTCAATTTTGTGTATCTGCTGCTTAGTAGGTTTCTCCATTGTTCATAAGAGGGGAGTGCATTGGTGTTTTGACTTGCCAATCACACAGATGTTCAGTAGGAGTCAGATTTTCCTCCACCACCATTTGCAGAAAATCTTCATTGCTCTTTATTCGTTGTTCATGATGTCCTTCCGTTTAAGGGCTAAGCAAAACAGGGAGGTTGGGGAGAAAACTGAAAAAGTAGTTATTTTCAGAATGGCATCCTTCCAAAAATACAAACATAAACAACCACAGCCACTAAGAATATATTTCTGAAAAAGATAGATATGTAATGTTTGGTAGATGATCAAGTGTTGCTTATGGTAAGCCATTTTACAAAAGCATGAGACAAGAATACTGTAATGCAAAATCTTTATATAATGAATGTAATTTAATTAATGGTTCTTAATCTATTTCAACATGATCTTTCAAAAGCATTTGGTCAATGCAGCAATGAACATTACATCTATACTAAGGATTAAATCAAATAAATAGTGGATTTATGATCCACTTTTTGACTCGCATCCAAAGTCCACACAAAGTCTACGAGCAAACTATCCTGGAATGAGCTTTCTCACTGGGTGGTTTGGTTGGGAGTGGTAAGCAAGACTTTATCACACATCAGGTGCATATGTGTGACAAATGCATAGTAGATGTGTGGCAAACACATAGTAAAGTCTGTATTCATCTCATCTGTACCTAAGCCAATGATGTCCCTAATTACTTTGGAAAGCATGAAATCTCCAATGTACGGTATATCCATTTCTCTTAAAGAAAAGTTTGCAAAATTCATGTTCAAAGAGAAAAACAACCACTATATCATTTTAATTGTCTGGCTCATGGTGTTATGACATGATGTTAATGAATTCATAATTAGTCATTAATGAAACATCAGAACTCAAAGCTGCATAACTTGTGTGTACTAAACATTACTTGGCAAACGACAGCAAGGAATAGTGGCGCCCGCCCTGTGGAACGCCCTTCCAGCAGATGTCAAAGCGATAAACAACTACCTGACATTCAGAAGACATCTTAAGGCAGCCCTGTTCAGGGAAGTTTTTAACGTGTGATATTTTACTGTATTTGTGGTCCTTATGGAAGCCGCCCAGAGTGGCTGGGGAGGCCCAGCCAGATGGGCGGGGTATAAATAATAAATTATTATTATTATTATTAAGGAATATGTTCCATTTTAACATTTCTTCTCCCAGATATTTGCCTATTTAACAATCTATGGCCTTTTAAACTGGGGGAGTGGTGTATTGTTTCATTTGTTACTATGTTATATATTTTTGTGTTTTTATATTGTTAGCTGCCTTGTGATCCTTGGGAGAAGAGAAAAGATTTTGCCTGGTCCCTAAATATATGTAATGAATGCACCTGATGAGCCTCCTTTAAGAGAACCAAAAGAGGGTTGGTTGGTTTTTAGTACATTTCCAGAAGGCAGGACCTAATTCTGAAGAATTTCTTGAGTGACTAATAAGATATGTCAAAGAATTACCGTACTTACACTGCTGGACATTTTTAGACCTTACAACCTACTGGGTGCGTATCAAGCAGTGTATCTTTGTAGACCAGGAAAAGGAAACGTTTTGCCACATTATGTTCAACTTTGTAATCTCCATATTTCAATGGGAAATAAATTAAGCTACACTCTATTAAATTGTAAGCCACAATAATAATTCAGAAGACTTTGTAATCTCCATATTTCAATGGGAAATAAATTAAGCTCCACTCTATTAAATTGTAAGCCACATTAATAATTCAGAAGACAGGTTGGTTCCTGAAAAATATCCAAAACTTATTCATGAAGTAGCCTATGTATGTCAAGCAGCCTGATGAACCCAGAAATAGAACTGAGAAACTTTCTCTGGTCTTTTGCAATGAGAAAAATTCTCAGAGTTTATTTTCAAATAACGACTGAATCATGTTACTTGTTTTTTACCTCGAGGTTTTCAGCTGATTAAACAGTTTTAGTGTATATTTTGTAAGCTCCTTCTGTTTTCAATGGGATGATTATGGCACATGGTAAGAAGTATTTACATTGGTATCTACCTGTGCATTGTCTTAGCCACATTCACATGCAGAATAGATGAGATTACCTTATTATTAAAACAGGTTTTGTCTGAAGTCTCTTTTCTCTGTAAGCCATCCTCATTATTAAGAGTTGTTGAAACAGCCAAGTTATTGTCACATTTGTGATGAAGATCACAAGAGGCCTGCATCAGCAGAATTATTAACTCAGCAGTGATGTCATCATACAATGGACTAAGTCCACATCATCAGTATACAGTCAGAGCAGTAGCAAAGCACTTTCAATAGTTTTGGCTCTCCTGCCCCCCTCCAAAAAAAACCTGGGAGCAGCAGTTGGTTAAGGGTGTGGAGCTCTAATTTACAGAGTAGTTTAATAATCAATCCCTCTTCTGAGGGAACTTTGATAACTGTAGCTCTGTGAGGGAATAAGGGTCTCCTAACAACTTTCAGCACCCTTTACAAACCGTAGTGCCCAGGATTCTTTGAGGGAACTATAACTGTTAAATGCGGCAAGATGCTGTTTTAAATGTATAGTGCAGATGCGGCCTAAAATGGCTTTTCTGGTCAGATACAACAACCCTATGAGGTAGCTTAAAAGGCTGTGGCTGGCCCAAGGTCACCCAGTGAGCTTCATGACTGAGTGGGGATTTGAACCCTGATCTCCCAGGTCCTAGTCTGACACTTTAACCACTACACCATGCTGGCTTCCTAGAGTACTTCTGCTATGGGGCAGCTATGTAAATTAAGAAAGTAAAAAAATATGGGGAAAGCCAAATGTCACAGAGAAGGATCTGAAATAATTTTCTTGAAGCTTGACTTTGTTATATTCTGGATTGTTTTATTTTATGTAAACCAGTTTTTTCTTTAAATATACAGTGGTACCTCGGGTTAAGTAC